GATTCCGCTCTCATCTCATCAGTCGTACATACGTAGTACCGATGAGCTAGAACTAAGACGTATGGAGTGTATGTTTATGTGCACTGGTGATGACAAAAAGAGATATGGTAGTGTGGAGGGGTGGGGTGGGTGGGGAGGGACAGGGGGGGGGGAGGGGGGGGAGTGGGGTGGGGTGGGTAATTTTAAATTGGGGTTCAGAAATGAGGTGACCCATCCCTGCAATGGGAGTGAAATTTGCTAACCCTCCCCTTGAGCTTGGCCTAAAATATCATGACCCTCCCCACGTTACAGAATTGAAAGAAAAATGTTCCAGGCTCTTTAAGGTGCAGCATTCCAAGGCAACAAGTAAAAAAAGGAAACAAAAACAAAGTAAAAGGAAAGCAAAGAAAGCTAGTGCAACAAGAATGGAAGCTAACTGCAAAGGGTTATTGAAACCTTTGCACCTCAGCAAGAGTAGCATGATGTTACAGAGCCTATTGGCCCGTTATCTCTTCATTATGAAGTTTAAGTCGGCTCCTTAAAACACAAAGGCCATATATCCAATATGCCTTTGAGAAGGTATTGTTCACCAATAAATCACAGGACATTATCAAGCAATATGTACGCTTCAACTTTGATGGAAATCATGATGATGATGAAAGTGATTGTATCAATGCTGATGACAAAAATGATGATGATCAAGATGCTCACAGCAGCATTGATGGTGATGCTGAAGACAGTGATGAATAGGATAGCCAAAACTCTGATAACATTTAATCTTCTTGACTGTAACGTTTTCAATTTGATCTATTTTGACTGATCACGATCTTTTTGGATCCGACGTTGAGCAAGATTGATCGTACACGGTTTTTGCGGTGGTTGTTTTTACCTTAACTAAACATTAATAACAACATTATTCATACTTTCAATAAGACTCTATAGCATTGTTATAAATGAAAAGTAGATGTTTGTGGAATTCTTGCATATAGTACTTCACAGTTTATATCCATAATGTTTCGTTGTTCTTGTTTTTTTTTACCAAATAAAGAACTTTTTTTTTCTGTGGGTGAACCTCTGCATGATCACGGGCATATATTTGCATGGTCCTCCCCCTTTTAACGGTCCATTTTTCATGACCCCTCCCTTTTCTGCCTCAAAAAGTTGTGGCCCTCCCTCTGTTTCCACCCCCCTACCCCCTGCTAATTTCTGACAAGTCCCTTACAAAAACTTCGATTACCGTGCCGCATCCGCCAAGAACTCATGGTTGCACGCTGCACGTTTGCCATTTTTTAATTTATTGCAATGAAAGTGCACACACAAAAAACCAGAAGGTAGTGTTCAAGAACATGTTGGCAAATCTAAAGATGGGCAAATTCTCAGTGATACTGACCGTTCAGTTGTCTAATTATACAGCACCGGAAAAAACAGGTAAATCCAGCTTAGCTATAGCTCGGCTTAAAACCACTCTGTGATAAAAAGAGTTGATGAAAATCCGCTTAAAACTTCATAGACAAAAAAGGAAACAAAAAATACAGGAAGAAAAAAATTACAGGAAAAACAGTTTTCGCAACACCCATTTCCGGGTGTTACGAAAACTAAGACCTAAGACCTAAAACCTCATTTACACGCGCTAAAAAAATCGGCACGGCACGCCAAATTTTTGGCACCGTGCTGAAGATTTTAAGGCACGGCACTCCCAATTTTAGACGTGTGCGAGTAAACGTATCGGTCCCACATGTAATGTGGCACCAGTGCTCAAAATTTTAGGGGTGCCGAGACTACCTCCCGGAGGTAGTCTCGGCAGGGGTAAACGAGGCACGGTGTCAGAAATTTGGCGTGCCCTGCCGATTTTTTTAGCGCTTGTAAATGGGGTTTAAGACTCGTCTTAGTTTTCGAGATTACGAAAACTAAGACCCCCTAAAATCAAATCCATCGAAATATGAAGTCAAGTTGTAATTGAAATAGGCCTAATCTGTCAAAATATCTTCTGTCCCATTCTTTCCACCGAGTTTTAGGTCAAATTTAACGGTAAAACAAAGACCCCTCTTAGCTTTCGTTATTACGAAAACTAAGACCACCTAAAAAAAACAATCCGTAATATATATATGAAGCCAAATTATGACCGTTCAAAGAATATAATCCGTAAAACAACCAAAAACTACCATCCGCGTGCTGACGATCTGCTTCCTCTAATGATTTGCAGAAAACAGAACATGAAAGCCATTACCTGTGTATAATTGTACACTGAAAATATGCCTACCCCGCCGACTAGTCTCTAATTCTAGTTGTTTCGTCCGCCTTTTGTATGCCTGATATGTCCCCCGCCTGATATGTCTGCGTCGCCTGCAAATTTTTAGAAGACGCGGATCGTCAGCACGCGGATGATAGTTTTTGGTTGTTCTACGGCTTATAGTTTTTGAATGGTCGTAATTCGACTTCATATATACATTACGGATTGGTTTTTAAGGGGGTCTTAGTTTTCGTAATAACGAAAACTAAAAGGGGTCTTTGTTTTCGAAATTACGAAAACTAAGACCCCTAAATTTACCGTTAAATTTGACCTAAATCTCGGAGGAAAAAAGCGGAAAGAAGATAATTTGACAGATTAGACCTATTTCGATTACAATTTGACTTCATATTTAGACGGATTTGATTTTAGGGTTCGTAATCTCGAAAACTGAGACGCGTCTTAGGTCTTTTCGTAACACCCAACAGGAAATAGTAGAAACAGAGACAAAACAGATCAACATAACCTCACTGATAGTAGTCTTGAAAACACATAGAGATACGGCACATTTGTTTTCTAAAGTGGCCTCCGCAAAATAGAAACGGCAACTCAAATTTAGTGCGTTTCGATATGAATACTACCTAAATTATTTTTGACTGCCCAAACGGTGAATCCTCCGCGATTTCCTTTGCATGTGCCAAATGAAAGCATCGGTGGTAAACATTCGATTAATATCCAGATATTCTGCAGGAAGTTACGCTTTCGCTGTCAAAGGATTTTGTGTATTATTTTCGGCGTTTAAGATCAGGTCAGGTACACAGTTTTCATAGCTGCATTGAGCTGTCTACGCTCTGTACAAACAAATCTCACACTTACCTGCCCCTCCCCCAAATCGTTTGTAATGTCCCAGATTCTGGGAGACACGTGACCAGAGTTTTCCAGGATCTCTCTCTCTCTCTCGCTGCGTAGGGCGGGTAGGAGAGAACCCTGGGAACGAGGTTGGAAAGAAAACGACGACTTCATTTCCGCCTTATGAAAAAGGCAAATCATGCTGTTGCTCGCCCGTCAAAGCACAGGTCTACAAATGGATTCCAAAGACTT